GGAGGTGATAATTCTAATGTGTATGTAAGAGTAAAGATATTTAGTTAAAATTAGAAATCCCTTAAAAACGAAGGTAGAAGGTCAGAAACAACCCGTCAAAATCTGAGGCAGGTAGGAGGTCAGAAGGAATTCCTGAGTGACTCTGATCAAAGGTGATGAGTCTTGCATTCTGATATGGAATGTGTCGAACCACTTAGTGTCAGGGTGGATTCAGGGACTGAGTTATTTTAATGCACAGCGGAGTCATTTGGGGGTTCTTAGATGAGCTGTTTGGTGGTCAGTTGACAACTTGAACTATATATAATTACCAACCAAGTTCTGATACACCTGAGGACAAAACAGGCATCAGAAAGGAGTGTGCCTGGCCTCAGTCTCCCTCCGTCTGCCTGCATAGAATTGACATTACAACCTGATGTGGGAGTGTCATATCAATCTGTTGATTTCATTGGCTGAGCAATAAAGAAACTGCTTGGCTGGCCCTCATAGGTTAAAGCATAGATGGGAGGAGAAAACAGAATAGAATTCTGGGCGGAAGAGGAAGTGAGGTCAGACTCTGCGCTGCTTCCAGAGGGACCGGACAGCCGCTCTGTTGTGCAGAGACACCATGATGGATGGGGGCTAGAATCTTCCCGGTAAGCGCACCTTGGGGTGCTTACACACATCATTAGAAATGGGCTAGTCCAGGTGCGAGAATTAGCCTGTAAGGGCTAGAGTTCATGGGCCAAGCAGTTCTTAAATGAACACAGTTTGTGTGTTGTTATTTCGGGCATGAGCTAGCCAAGCAGCCGGGGTGTTGGGGATGCAGCCCCGCCGCTCCTATTTCAACAACAACCCCCTTCACCGCCAATCTGTTTAAATTCTTACAGTAATACCGAAACTGTCGACTCAGAGAAGCAAGCACCCCATTGAGTTTTTTGATGGTTCCAAGAGCTAGAATGGTCTTCCGTAGAGCCAAAGTATGGCTGATCTGCCATAAAATATGTTCCGGACATATTGCCAGCAGCGGCATGTCAGTTGCCATGTTTCTATGACTGGGGGCAAAATGTGGTTAACGTTCATGGTGTTGCCACACTGAGTTTTCTTTGGAACAGTTGGTCAACCAAAACTCCTCCTGTGTCATTCATACGGTTATGTCCTGACAAGAACTGTCCCCATTATTGTACATAAACTCCTCAGTGCGTGCGTGTGTGTGTGTGCGCGCGCGCGCGCGCGTGTGTGTGTGTGTGTGTGTGTGTGTGTGGTGCACGCAGATACACATGGGTGTGCATGTGTTTGGAGGTCAGAGGTCAACACTGGGTGTATTCCTCTCTTGTACTCTAGTTTGTTTGTTTGTTTGTTTATTTTTTGAGACAGTGTTTCTTATTAAATCCAGAGTTCACAGATTCAGCTAGGAGGGCTGGCCAGTGAGCTCCAGAGATTCGCCCTGTTCACCCTCCAAATGCTGGGGTTACAGACCTGTGCCACTACCCTCAGCTTCTACGGGTGCTGGGGATCCACACTGGGCCTCACTCTTGCACAGCAAGCCCTTTCCCACTAAGTTATTTTTCAGCCCCAGTGATTCACTTTGAAAAGCAGAATACAGGCGTTAAGCCTTATGTTGTCGCAAGGTTTCAAGTTGTGGAAATTACTGAGAACTGTTTAGAACCACGTCTGCGACCTCGCTGGGGTCCAAAAGTCTGTTCCTTCCTTCACACGCCTGCCTTGTTTGTGATCTTGGGCCAAAGACTTAATTTCTTCAAGCATCACTTTCCGTATCTCCAAAGTGGAGAGAGAGATACTATTGCTACTTTCTCCATAGATCGGTTACAAGTTTTATGTGATAATTACTTTAAATGTCTATTTCCCACAATCCATAGCACCTCGTAAGCGACTGATAAGCATTTGGTACTGTTACTAGTTATCAGCCCTCAGGTCAGCCATTCTCCTTTGTGTCATAAAAAAATCTGATGACTGTCCTTTCTAAGACAAAAAAAAAAAAAAATATTCTCCCGAAAGCGGAGAAGAGAGCTCAAGGCCCCCGCCCGTCTCCCTCGGGCTGCCCCCGCGCTAATCAGCGCACTGCAGGTGTGATTCCCAGCGCAGCCTCGCCTGTCCTCATGGCGCCCAGCCAGTTCCCATCTTATCGCGCCACAATCATGATGGAGCTTGTCAAAGGCCAGGCTGAAAGCAAGGATAGTTTTGATGCCTCTCCTCTCTACCAACCTAATATCCCTATCAAAAAAGGAATAAATGAAGACATGTTTTGTTTCAGAGATTTGGGGTTGGCTCGGAGTGATCTCTGCTTTTCTAAAGACGTACAAAGAGTCTACTTAATAATCTGTTCAGTTGATGGGTTAAAAGTGGCAAAATTGTGGGTTATTTCCCCTTCGTTTCTATTATTATAATAATGTTTGTGGAGTAAATAGCTTTTTAAAATTCTGCTCTAGAATTCTGCCAGGGGTAATTGTCAGGCTGACTGGCTTATAGTTTTTATAATATGCCCCTTCCCCCCTTTTGAAAGTGGGGACACCTTTGTCCTTTCCTTGTCTGTTAACAGGCTCCCATTCTCCATGCTTTTTCAGAGGTTATTGACAATGGTTCTGAGAGTTCTTTGAACAACCTGGGACGTGATTTGTCTAAGTCTGGAGATTTGAATTTATTAAGGGGGTGAAAAGAACGCCACACTGGTTTCCAGCCCTGGCGTTGCAGTTCGCTAGCCCGAGTGCACAGGCAGCTTTTGATTTTGTTTTAGGCCAAATTTGGCCCCATCTGCGAAATAAGGCTTTTGGACCAGATGAAGTTGAAGGTCACATCAAGGTCTCATGCTTCTATGTCCTAAGTCAGCAGACATTTCCCTACTAACTTTTCTCACTTATCTTGGTTCTCATCATCCTCTCAATATTTTTTCTATCCTCTTTGATTTTGAGAATCCATTATTTTATAGCCATTTGTTTATTTATTTTGTATGTGCATGTATGTACACATGTGCCACCCAGTGAGTGTGTGGAGGTCAGATGGCATCTTGAGGAGGTTGGCCCTTTCTTTCTATCACGTGGGTCTGGGGAGTGAACTCAGGTAGTCAGGGTTGGTGGGAAATTCCTTCCATGCCAGCCCTGAACATCATTCAATTTAGAATCTGGGTACCTTACTATGGCACTTAGGGACCACATAATTTAGACTCTATGTTTCATTACAATTATCTTCTATTCCTTTGGGAACAAACCTCTGCACCCCATGTCACTCCCAGGATGTGCATGTCCTGCGCATGGTCCTCAGGGCCTTTTGCTAAGGTGACATCCCTGAGGTGGACTATCTCCCCAACACTCTTTCTCAGCCACGCTGAGTTCTAATTCTCCTGTAGGAAGTGTTTTGTAGACATCCTGAGTTGCAATAATCTCCTCCCCCACATATCTAATGTGTTCCATGCACATCTCTGGTAATTTGTCATGGTGCTTTGTGGCATTTGGGTGTAGATGCTCTATTGAATTTTACCCTCATAGATTCACGTGCCTTCTTGCCCTGGCCCTACTTATTTAGTGAACACTGTTCTGGATGATGCTCAATAAATTCTCAGAGGAACAGGGCATAAATTTTAAGGCATTATCAGTAACGTTTCTCTTAATCAGAGTGTTTCAGTAATTAATACACAGAAATGTGGAGGCAGAGGCAGGGGGATCTCTGAGTCTGAGGCCAGCCTGGTCTACAGAGTGAATTCCAAGACAGCCAGGGAGACCTGTTTTGAAAGACAAAAACAAACAAACAAAACGCACACAGCAGTATTTATACTTTTTATCTTTGGGTTCTTAGAAAGAAGAGTCAGTAACTCATCATATATCTATGTATTTGAAGACAAGAAAACAACTTTAGTATACAAGGGAAACAAATCTCAGACTGGGTCACTGTCCTCCCTATGAGAGTGATCTGAGGAAAGTTCCAGAATATGCAGAAGTACTACTAGGTTCAGGATGGAATCAGACTCTCTGGTAGTTAGCCTAGTTTAGGGTTCACTAAACTAACACAACAGCCCCTATCCTATCTTCTCCCCCATCCACCTGCTTCTCAGAGCTGGGCATCAAACTTGAGCCTTGAACACAATAAGCAAGCTCTCTACCACTGTGTTACCCACCTAACAGCAAAGTAGCCGAATTCTGTGGATTGCAAAGCCAAACTTTTTTATTATTATTTAGTAAGTGATATTTTAGTTAGTCATTTGGGTAGTTAGTTAGTTGAGACAGGGTCTCATATGGGATCAGTCTGCCCTCAGACTCATCATGCAGCCAAGGATAGCCTTGTTCTTCTGACCCTCCTGCCCCTCTAGTGCTGGAATTATAGGCATGTGCCATCATATCTGGTTTTATACAGTGCCGGGGTCTAACCTGAGGCTTGCGTTTGCCAGTACTCTGGCACCTAGGCTACACCTCCAACCCCTAGTTACAGTTAATAATAAGGAAAAATGACTTCTCAGTGCCAAAGGGAGCAGCACTATTGGGAGATGTTGCCTTGTGGAGTAGGTGTGGTCTTGTTTGAGGAAGTGTGTCACTGTGGAGGTGGGCTTTGAAGTTTCATATATGCTCAAGATACCACCCAGTGTTGTTGTCTACTTCCTGTTGCCTGCAAGATATAGAACTGTCAGCTGCCTCTCCAGCACCATGTCTGCCTACACGCCACCATGTCCCACCATGATGATAGTGGACTGAACCTCTGAACTGTGAGCCACCCCAATCAAATGTTTTCCTCTATAAGAGTTGTCATGGTCATGGTGTCTCTTCACAGCAATAGAAACCTTTACTAAGACATATATTATACTAAGTATAACTCTCAGGAAACATGGGAAGCATAAATACATAAATGCACAGAAAAGTAGACTTACCATGGCCTCCACAATATTTACAAAGTTATGATAAGTAAGCTTTAAAATTTTTTCCTAATTTTTAAAATTTTACTTTCTGTGTATGAGTGTCTTATATGCATGTATGTATGTATATGCACCAGGTATGTATATGATGCCTGAGAAGTCAAGAAGCCATTTGATCTCCTGGAACTAGAATTACAGATGGTTGTACGTCACCATGGACACAGGTGCTGGGACCCAAGCATGGGTTCTCTGCAAGAACGACAACTGTTTTACAAAGCTGAACCATCTCTCCAGCCCCTGTAAGTACTCTGAACAGAGTCCTCAGATTCCTGACATTGTTATAATATTAACATTACATGGGAAATGAATGATGGTAAGATTGCAGCACAGTGGGTGAAGGGTGCAGCTGGAGCTGGAGCTCAGGGGCAGGGTGCTTGTCCAGTGTGAGACTCGGGGACAGGGTGCTTGTCTCTGTGTGAGACTCGGGGACAGGGTGCTTGTCTCAGAGTGAGACTTGGGGACAGGGTGCTTGTCTCCGTGTGAGACTCGGGGACAGGGTGCTTGTCTCAGAGTGAGACTTGGGGACAGGGTGCTTGTCTCCGTGTGAGACTCGGGCGCAGGGTGTTTGTCTCAGTGTGAGCCCCAAGTCCTGCCCCCAGACCTGGGAAAAGAAAACACTCTGACACAAGAATAATAAAATCTTTCAAAAACTTCAGCTACAGGGGGCTGAAGAGATGGCTCAGTGGTAGGGACAGCTGTTGCTCTTCCAGAGGACCCAAGTTTGATTCCCAGTATCCACTCCTAGTGGCTCACAACCATCTGTAACTCCATTTCCAGGGAATCCAATGCTTTATATTCAGGCAAAACACAAACACACACACACACACACACACACACACAGAGAGAGAGAGAGAGAGAGAGAGAGAGAGAGAGAGAGAGAGAGAGAGAGAGAGAGAGTTTTAAATTAAAGATTTCAGCAACAAATAAACTCACCAAGCTGAGACAGTAAATACAGACCAGACTGTGCTGAGGATGCGTGTATCAGGGATGTGGAGCTTGCCATGTTGAGAAAGGTAAACAGGTAAAGCATTTCCTGGAGAAATGTTCCCAGAGTGATTTTTTGTATCCTTATGACCAGGGCCGGCTGCCACTAGGATGTAAGAGGAAATGATTTGCTCCTACTCAGCACTTAGAAACATGCGTCTTTTTACTCCAGAAACTCCCCTCAGTGTGCACGGAGAGAACGCAGAGGTGGCAGTAACCTTCGTAGGTTAATTAATAACCTTACTAGGTTAGTAGGCCTGTCCCCAGTGATCCCTGTGACACCAGCAGCTGAGGACCAGTGTTCAAATACACAAACATGTAGAGGACATTTCATATTTAGTCATAGCAGGAGAACTACTGAGAGTTGATGGAACCTTCAAGGGTGGCCTAGGAAGAAGGATTTAGATTGCAGGGGGCCACCAGTCCTTGAGGGAGGGACCCCAGGAATGTACTTTGGCTCCCCAGCTGTGAAGTGAGGTTGTACTCTGTTGCATGTTCTTCCATGGTGTGTCGCCACAGGTCCAAAGCAACAGAGAACTCATCAGGGACCGAGATCTCCAGAACTGTGAGCCAAATAAAAACCCCTTCTGTCGACCGACATTTCTGCTGCTGTTCAGTCCCAAAGAAACACACAGAGGCTTATAATGATTACAAACTCTTTGGCTGCCATTTTCCCAGAAGAATAAAGAAGCTAACTTGAGAAGCTAACTTGGGTGTAGGGGTTGCATGTTTGATTTCTGCCTCCCTTGGCTTCTTCTTTCCTAAAAGGCAGAAGACTTTCTCTTAGAAACCAGGAAAAGCAGTGGATCATCCATGGAAGGGGCTTTATAACACTCCAAACTCAAACATCTCTCGAGACCAAGTAGAGAATGTAAACAAAAATTGGGGACTATTAGCAACTAGCATGAGCTCTCTATGTCTAAAGGGATTAAGCATGATGTTAATGGTTCCTACAGGGCAAAAATGTGGGTCCTGAAATGTCCAAAAGAAGTTATCAATCTAGAATTTACTGTAAAATATGAATTTTGTTTTAGGTTTATCAATACAGGGTTTCTCTGTATAGCTTTGTTGCCTATCCTGGAACTAGCTCTTATAGACCAGGCTGGTCTTGAAGTCATAGAGATTCGTCTGCCTCTTTCTGCCTCTTAAGTGCTGGGATTAAAGGTGTCACCACCACCACCTGGCAAAATATGAATTTTTAAATGTTCATAGTGGTTCACATTTCTGGGCAAGTGATCCAATAAGCTGCCTGTTAGTGGCCTGCATTGTAGGAAGGAGTGAACGCTCCAATAGTACTGTCTGGGCTTGACTGCTGTGCCGTGAGCAATGTTATCAAAGGTCATGTGACCTGTGCTTTATTCCCTCCCTTTTCTAAAATCAGGACGGAGCTCCCAGGACTGATAGACAGATGAAGACGATGCTGTGGGAAACCCACCTTCCGTTTCCTTCTTTCTCTAATCTCTGATCTCTCCCTCTTTATCCTTGCACAATAAGCCCTCCTTCCACAGCCTTGTTTAAAGCAAACGAAGGAACAGTTTAAAAAAAAAAAAACTCACTTGTCACTCACACGTGTTTGTAGGGAAACTTAGCTTGCTCAGCCTAAAAGGGACAGTGCTGAACCAGCTGTTCATCTGGTCCCACTGACAGCTAGGATATGAAGCAAGCCTGGAGAATTTCTGTCTGTCTTTTCACCGCTGTGTTCTTCAAACAATACGAACATGGGAGCCATATTGGAGCAACACTATTTCCAAAATTAAATTCAGGCAATATATTCACTGGTGGTCCTGACTAGGAAGCCAAGTGAAGACCCTGACCCAGCAGAGAAATCCTCCAGCATACCCTCTCAGGTTTTCAAAAGGGAAGGAGGGGGAACATAACTAAAAGAGAAGCGGAGAGTGAGGTGTTCCAGGCCCGTAACATTACAAGGCTGAAGCTCAAAACAAGCCTGAGACTCACAGAAACTGCTCAGAAGCAGCAGAAACTGCTTTGTGCAAGTGTATTGGGAACAGGAAGAAGAGGGAAGAGCCAGGGTCAGTGCTTGGAGCGGATGGTGTAATGTTAGCAGATGACAGACAGACAGCAGAGTTACCCAAGTCCTACTTAGCTTCCATCATCTCTGTCTCCAAGAGGAATCTTCAAAGGGGATCAGGTAGTATAAACATGGTGAGGAGGAAATGGCAGTCCTGGGTGTGAAGCTTCACGGAAAATGAATACCCACCTTGGGTCTGGGATAGATTCCTGGAGATGGAAGAAACTTGGAGAGTTAATCACAGAGCCGCAGTCAGGGATTTTGCAGGAGTCTTGGTATTCATGCCAAAGAGTAGTGATGGGCAACTGTCCGAGTTGTCAAAAGCAAGGAATGTGTAGGTTAGGGAAAGACTGCACTGCCGAGCTCAGCTTTGATCCACAGCAAACTCTAACCTGCATTATTAAAGAGATTGTGATCGCTTAGAAAAGGAAGTGGTGTCTCAAGCAGCCAGAGCAAGCCATGTAGACAAACCACACCATGCTATCATGGTCTCGTATTTCTCTCTTTTGAAAAATATCCAAAACTCACAAGATTGTTGTTAGCGAGCCTCTCAGCAAGGCTGTGGACAAAACACTTTATAAACCAGGTAGCTAGAGACCGAGGGACCTACTGGTTGAAGGCCTCGATTAACAAAACCACTGTACCCAGGAAGCCAACAGACAGAGTCGCACTAACTCAGAGAGGGCCCAAACAGGATGCCACCAGCCCTTGTTTGGGCCCAGTGACACACACAGTGTGCCAGCTTGTACGTGGACTGACAGAAAGCAAGGAAGACTCACTAAGATGTCGCCGGCGGTCGAGGCGGGATGGGCTTTCACCAACAAGAAGCCACAAGACACACAGCAGGATGTAATGGGAGGGAAACAAAGGTTCTTTATTCCAGTTAAAAAGGAAAACTTTGAAAAAGCTCAGTTCTTTGAAGCACTGAAGCAAGACAACATGAGAACGTCTTAGGAGTTTTAGTTAAGAAAAGCTCGGCGTGACCAAAGGAGCAGTTCTTGGTACAGACACAAGACAAATGGACAAACAAACAAACAAAGATGAGCAAACCTTCACGTTTCAGAGGAATTTGTTCAGAGCAAGCGTGGCGAGACAGAGGCTATTGTTGGCCTTGTCGGCGCCCGAGCATCACGGCTTGTTATGGGTACCACGTTTCTCCTGCACTGTCAATTTTTTTAGTCATGAAAGAAAAAGACAGTCACCATCACAAAGGGAAGAGTGGTAGAAAGAAGAAAAAACTTACTTGGCATTCACCTCATAGGCAATTGTTCTCATCTTGATATATGTCCCTGAAGTCTTTTTTTTTTTTTTCATACTTCAAGGAGCTACATGGAAAGACTTATATAAAGTGAGGTTTGGGCATTTATATCCTGCACTAATGAAACTGCCACTGGGGCTGTGGGTATAGCTCAGAATAGAGAGGTCGCTTGGCACATGCAAGACCCTGGAGCTGATTCCCTTGCATTGTAAAATAAATAAGTAAATAAACCTATGAATCATTAGATAATGAATATTTCCCATGTCAGCATATAGTCTTTGAAAACATGGCTTTGTTAGGTATGTATTACACTATGATACGAACAGGCTTGGTTTCAAATGCCTCTCTGTCTTGAGTATTTAGACTTCCTCCACTGAGAGGTGGCGGTGGCAAGATGTCACGCTGATTTTAACAGGATACTGACAAAATAGTGGGCATCCCAGGAAAAACACTGGATTAGTGAATTGTCCCAGAAATCATGTCACAAGAGGGGCGGTTCCAAACCCTGTGAAGGCTGATTCCAGAGAGGAGCCCTGACAGCTGTCCACCAACTCCCAGAATGCCGTCAATGGGAACGAGAGTGAATTCATTTCGGGTAGCCCCAGCAGGTCAAACTAAGAGCAGAGGAGGGCTTGGAGGGAGTCTGATTTCAGCCCCAGGGATGACAAATCCCTGCAGCCCACCAGCAGAATGAGCAGCATTATGAGGGAGGAAGGGCACAATCCTGGAAAATGAACAGCTGGAGAAAAGACAGCTGTCTGCGTCAAGAATGTGTGAAGAAATTCCTATATTCCTTCTAACCGCAAGACACGGTGTGTCTTTCTGAGTTAAATAGAGGTCATGAGGAATGTATCACTGGCAAATAGCAAAGAAGCCAATGTCGTTCATTGTACTGTTGGTATAAGTAAACATTGGGTTTCACAGATACAAGACCTATCCTTTAATTCTTTTCTTTTTAAAATTTCTTT